GCATTTTTGTTGCATTTACATTGTTCTGACCATCATGGGGCATTTCAAGCACTTTGAAACAGTGAATCATTTTGCGAAGCAATTGGTTTAATTGATTCAAAGTTTTGTTTGCTTCATTTCTCCCATCACTACTAGTAAGGACCATGTTTACTAAACACTGGTGATCATTCATCGACCTGAAGCAGGGAAAGTTGTCTAGTGAGCAATCATTCCAGGACCTGGAAATGTCTGATTCCCTGGGTAGTGTGCTTACTGCTGAACTAGTGTGTGGATTGAGACGTAGCCACAGGCTACATGAGGACACGGTAAGTCAGGCACGTCGGGCGATAAGAAGAAAACGGGTTAAGCAGAGAATCGATACATCTGGCTTCAGTTTGTCTGAGTTTAGTGCGTTTGTGAGCACAATGAAAGGGAAAAGCTGACATCATTCAGCATATAATAGATACAAGATGTAGTTGACATTTACATTATCTTTCAACTCAACGCAGAGCACCGGCATTGTCTGTTCTAATGGAGCTCTTTGAAGACGTTGTTGGGCGTTGGAATGTCACCATTGAACGAGACGCGCTTCTGTGTGCAGATCAAACGCGTGGCGTGAGGTTTGATCAGTACCTGCTTGAACTTCACTCTAGTTTGCTGCTTTGAGAGAGTCATTAATCAGAGACGCTCTGTGCCTGAGAGAGAGACGACTACGAGAGCGAGCCTTGATGTGAGAGAACACCGGCGGAGTGTCGAGCTTCATGCTCTTAGACGAGAGAAGAGTAAACTAAATGATTTTCAAAGCAAAAAACAGCAGAACAGAAATGGAAGTGTAAATATGATGCATGTGGAGGAAGAGAAACACGTGCAGTCAGAGGACAGAGAGCGATTGGACCTCAACTGTTGAAGTTGAATTTGAGTTTATCCATCCTTCCATCCATCAAACAGTCTATCTATTCATTCATATATAATTCTGTCTGTCGATTTATCTATCGTTTTGTCTATTTGTTTATATATCTGTCTAGTGTTCTATCTATCTATATCTATCGATTGATTGATCGATCGTTCATTTGTTCATTTGTTCATTTGTTTTGTCTGTCGTTCATTTGTTTGTTTGTTTGTTTGTTCATTCTGTCTGCACTCTAAAAAAATGCTGGGTTAAATACAACCCAGTGCTGGTTAAAATAGGGACAAACCCAGCAATTGGGTTGTTTTGACCCAGTGGTTGGGTTAAATGTTTTACCCAACCTTCTGGGTAGTAACCCAACCACTGGGTCAAAAACAAATCAATTGCTGGGTTTGTCCCTATTTTACCCAGCACTGGGTTCTATTTAACCCAGCATTTTTTAGAGTGTGTGTTTATATCGGTCTGTCTGTGTATCTGTCATTAGTTTGTTTGTTCATTTATTCTGTGTTCTATCTATCTATCTATCTATCTATCTATCTATCTATCTATCTATCTATCTATCTATCATTCGTTTTTTTTTTCCTTCATCCATTCATCCGTTTTGTCCGTTCGTTCGTTCATTTTGTCTGATGCTCGTTTGTTCTCTCTGTCTGTTTTTTTGTGAATTTTTGAATTTTCATTCTACTTCATTACATACTAATTATGTTTTCTCCCTCAGCTGTTAAGTCGTTCTGGGTTACATTTACATTTAGTCATTTAGCAGACACTTTTATCCAAAGCGACTTACAAATGAGGACAATAGAAGCAATCAAAATCAACAAAAGAGCAAGTCTCGGCTAGCCTAACACAGTACACATAGCAAGGTTTTGTTTTTATATACGTTGTCTCTTCTGCAGTGATTCAAGGAACTCGCTGAACCCATCTGAGCAATGACTTGGCTTTTCTGTTCTCCTTTTCTCTCGTCTATAGAAACTCAAGTTCCCAACCAGCCGAGCTCTCTGCACGTGCGTCCGCTGCCCAACAGCATCATCATGAGCTGGACGCCGCCGCTGAACCCCAACATCCTCGTGCGCGGCTACATCATCGGCTACGGAGTGGGCAGCCCATACGCCGAGACCGTGAGAGTGGACAGCAAGCAGCGCTACTACTCCATCGAGAACTTAGGTGAGAATCAGAGATGCTTAACTTCACAAACGCTGCTTTTAGAATAATAACAATGACAATAGTAGCCATATATTGTAAAAAAAATTAATTGCATTGTAAAATAAACGAAAATGAATATATGTGTGTTATTTTGGCTTTACACTACAGTAGGGAAATTACAATACTTCTTTCCTAATTT